TGTGGTATTTACATGTAGCCAAAGGTTTCTAACAGGAGTGTGATCATAACAGGAACTTATGTTCAATTCCCCTTCACTCCAAATAACTGTAATTACCTTACATACATCTTTCTAAGTAAGAACTGCTGTTAACAATCAAAAACATGAACTGGGCAGAGAAGATTATTTGAGAAAGGCAAAGTCTGTAAAACAAACTTACACATTAACAGAATTTATAAATACCTTTTTCCTCCAACCTTCCTCCAGTACCTCTGTGTCATGGTTTGGATGGAAACATGTATTTGGTGTTGCTTTCCCCAGTGTCCTTCCCACTGTCTCAGAACCTTTAAGAATTACTCTCCAACTCGTCCTTGATTTGCCTCCTCATACTTTTCCAGTCTTTCCACTCACTCTTTTTTTTTTATTTTTATCTTTTTTTCCCAAAAAAGACATCTTTTTCACATGACTGTGCAGCTGAGTGGCTGCACACATTGTACCAGGCAGGTGTCTAGACCCTCTAGGTTTTACAGGGGGACACAACCCCCATCTGGCCCTGCCAAGGTTGCCCTAGGAGACCCTCAGCTCCACAGGCTGGGGGTACATTCTGCATCAGGGGCCCAAAGGAGAGCCTGACAGTCTGAACTACCCAGGAATATGAAAAATGCTATAGGGAAAAGTTTCAGGGACTGTAGGAGACTTATTATGGGATATTTGGGTAGGGGACCAAAGGCAGGGAAACAAGGGATCTCCAAAGGAATAAATGTTGAAAACTAAAGAGTAAAAAAAGGTGGTATTAAGGACCACTTGCACGTAAACAGGGTCTGGTCGGTACGTGTGTGTGTGTGCATGTCTGCCTGTAGGGATGAGGCATCTGAGCAGAGAGAGATCCCTGACCAGCTACAGGATGTTCAAAGTCAGCTTCTGGTAATCCACAGGGTTAGCAAGTGAATGAGTGTTTGATCAGCAAGCGGAGTGGCTTGCACCCTCAGGAGGCTGTATGCACAAGTGCCAGAAACTGAGGGGACTGGTGGGATATGGGAGCCAGCTATTACATACATCAGTATCGTCATAACACAAAAATGGTGCCATGAGGTAACAAACAAGCATTTAAAAATGCAGCACATTAAAAATGAAATTAATAATAAAGCCAACCAAATATACAGACATTAGAAAGGCACTATAACACTTTTTCTATATTTTGGGGCAAGTTTTTTATTACCTCTTTCGGGCAGGATTGTGCAATTGTTAAAGAAGTCAGAGAGTTGTAGTCAATGTGACAGAGTCTAGTTGAAGGCCTGTATCTAGTGGAGACCCTCAAGAATCTGTACTGGGACCAGTACTATTCAATATATTAATCAACGACCTGGATGAAAGAACAGGGTGCACTGCCAGCAAGTTTGCTGATGACATTAAACTAGGAGGAGTGGCTGACACACCAGAAGGCTGTGATGCCATTCAGCAAGACCTAGACAGGCTGGAGAGTTGAACAGGGAGAAATATAATTAACAAGGGCAAGTGTAGAGTCTTGCATCTGTGAATGAACAACCCCATATACAAGTAGAAGTTAGGGACTGACCTGTTGGAGAGCAGTGTAGAGGAAAGAGACCTGGGGGTCCTGGTAGACAGGAGGATGACCATGAGCCAGCAATGTGCCCTTGTAGCCAAGAAGGCCAATGGCATCCTGGGATGCATTAGAAAGGGTGTGGTTAGTAGGTCGAGAGAGGTTCTTCTCCCCCTCTATTCTGCATTGGTGAGGCCCCATCTGGAGTATTGTGTCCAGTTCTGGGCCCTTCAGTTCAAAAAGGACTGGAAACTTCTTGAAAGAGTCCAGTACAGAGCCACAAAGATGATTAAGGGAGTGGAACATCTCTCTTATGAGGAAAGGCTGAGCTGGGTCTCTTTAGCTTGGAGAAAAGGACATTGAGGGGCAACCGCATTAATGTTTATAAATATGTAAATGGTGAGTGTCAGGAGGATGGAACCAAGGTCTTCTCAGTGATGTCCAATGATAGGACAAGGGGCAATGGGCACAAGCTGGAACATTAGAAGTTCCACAAAAACATAAGGAAAAACTTCTTCACTGTGAAGGTGACAGAACATTGAAACAGGCTGCCCAGAGAGGCTGTGGAGTCTCCTTCACTGGAGACATTCAGAACCCACCTGGATGCCTTCCTGCATGATCTACTCGAGGTGATCCTGCTCTGACAGGGGTTTGGACTAGATGAATCTTTGAGGTCTCTTCTGACCCCTAACATTCTGTGAACTGTTCCCAGCAGAAGAAGTACATTCCTGAAGCTCAGAGATATGCCAGTTTTAGCACAGAGACTAGCTGTCCTTTCTGACATCCAGGTCACCAGCTCTGTTGCTGTTTAAGAGGTGCCCTCATACACTGGCAAAGAAAAATTACTAAAATAACTATATTCAGAACTTTAGACAAAGGCCTCCTACAGCTTTGGCTTGTTTGCAGAATTGTTGACTAGTGGCACCAGCTGAGGTGTTGCTTGCTTCTGAAGTACATCATGCCTTGTTTAAAAACAAGAGTAGCAAAAAGTATAAGTAAGTTTTTCTTTTATTTCTTCTAGTACTGTTTCCAGGAATTCCTTGAAGAGATCTCTCCTAGAGCTAGAATGTCATTTTACATGGACTTTGCGGAAGGAGGATGCGGATCTAGACAGCCTAGAGAAAAGAATAGAAAATCGGACTGAGTTTTTCACAAAAAACAATGTCTCAAATTATAATCTACTAGCCTATATATGCCACCTAAAGAATTCAAATGAAGACACCCTGAGAAATCTCCAGAAAGCTGAAGAAGAAATTAAAAAAAATCATCCAGATGAAATTGCCAGGAGAAGTCTTGTTACCTGGGGGAACTATGCTTGGATCTACTACCACATGGAGAATTATGAAGAAGCTCATACCTATGCAAGCAAAGTGGGAAACAGCTGCAAAAAGTTTTCAAGTACTGATGAATGGGAGAGTGAGTTTCCAGAAATCTGTGCTGAGAAAGGATGGGCATTGTTAGCATTTGGGAGAAAATACTATGAGAGAGCAAAAAATTCCTTTGAAAATGCTCTGAAGAGTGATCTCAACAACCCCGAATTTAATGCTGGGTATGCAATAGCGATGTATCGCCTGGAGGAACTTTCTTATAGACAAGAAAACTGTGTAAACCTATCCCTCAACCCCCTGAAGCGTGCAGTGGAGCTGAATCCAACAGATACATCCCTTATAGCATTACTTGCATTAAAACTTCAGGACTTAAAGAAAGTTGATGAAGGGGAGAGATATATTGAAGAAGCAATGCAGAAAACCCCATATCTTCCTTATCTGCTGAGATATGCAGCTAAATTTTACAGAAGGAAAGGAGAAATAGACAAGGCAGTGGAGATTTTGAAAAAGGCCCTAGCAGTGACGCCAGAATCTGCCTTTTTGCATCACCAGCTAGGACTCTGCTACAGAACAAAACTGTTTCATCTGAGAAGAGATAGAAGATATCCACCTGAAGAGCAAGTGAAAGAACTCATCAGACTTGGAACTTTTCATTTTAAAACAGCAACTGTTGAAAAGAAAGAATTTTTTGCTGCCCATGTGGATCTAGCAAATATGTATGCTGAAGATAAGAGGTATGAAGAAGCAGAAGAGACATTTCAGAAGGCAATTAAGATACATATTCTATTTGATGATGATAAACAAGAATTCTGCTACCACTATGGCAATTTTCAGCGTTTCCATAGAAAATCGGAATCTGAAGCCATTGGGTATTACCTAAAAGGACTGAAAATTGAAAGTGATTCTTATTCAAGAAATAGGTGTAGATATGCTCTGCGGAAATTGTTGGAACAGAGAATTAGGAGAGGTTCAGAAGATGCAACAGATTTTGGTACACTTGGATTCGTTCATAATCTATGTGGTGAAAAACAGGAAGCAATTGAGTGCTATGAGAAAGCGCTTGAATTGTGTCCAGACAGTGAAGACTATGTGAGTGCATTATGTGAGCTACGACTTTCCATCTCAAGCTGAAGCTCCAAAAAATCCTTCCCATTGAACAAAAACAAAAAAATCAAACAAAACAAAAGATCCTCACGAACCCCAAATCCAAGGATATTTCCACTCATGTTTGTTGTTTTTTCTTTTTAAGATTGTAGTTATAATCAGGTGAAACATCTGATGGCATCACTTCTGTTTTTAATGTAGAGATTGCAGGTGATGATTGTTCATTTATTTTTTTATTTACCAATGGAGAGCATGATTAGAAGTACCAAATAATAGCTAAGCTATCTTAGTCTTCAGTGCTAATATTAAAATAACATTTGTGTTTAAGTGGTGACTTGTAGAACACAGAACTTCTACTCTTGAACCTTCTACTAAGAAAAAGGGAATCATACTGTATCATTTAATCTACCCACTTGAAAGGCATGCTTATACACACAAGTGGAATTTCTGATGCTTTTTCAAGTATCTTTAAATGTGTGTGTGTGTGTGTTATTTAGAATGAACTTTTGTTGAAGAGTTGTTTAGTGGTATGTTATTTAACTAGGAAAAATAACCACTTCTTGGCTAGTCCACTGGAAAGCTTGCAAAATGTGTATTATTATTATTAAGTACTATTAAAGAGCATTGCATTCATCAACTATTGCTTCTGGTATCATTCTGTTGACCAATCTTTATATTAATAGATGAAAGAAAGGGAAATGGCCATTCAAAAAAGTAAAAGAAATAATATTTTGGCAGGATATGAAATGGTCAGGAGACAACAGCGTTTATTTTCTTGCTCTATCAGCAAAGCTGGCTTCAGAGGTGTTGCATCAAGGAATTAAACTGTGCACAAAACAACTTCTCAACCTAGTTTATCCCAAACCACACTCTCAGGAACTGCTGCGGCAAATGCCTGGAGAGGAAGGAAAGGCAGTCTTTGAGGGGCCAAAGAGAGCGCATTCTACAGACATGGTCTTGAAACAAGCTAGGGATAGAAAACACATTCAATAAATGTACCAAACTGGAGGTGGAGGGCAGAGCAAAAAGTTGCATTAGCACTGGAGAACAGGGTAGCAGAACATGGGGTATTTATGGGAAGAGAGGTGGGTGCTCAGAGAATCTGCATGAGGAGAAGAAAGGGCTGAAATGAGAGAGAATATGTGGAGGAGGCAATTGTCTTCAGCTATCCAACTAAAACTCAGTATTCATTACAACAGACCAGCCTTATTCCACAGTACTGTACCTTAGCACAACAGATTATGGTGCTCAGGAAATCTGCACTTTCAAAACATTTCTGAGCCTTAGTCAGTAGTGTAGAATGAAACAAACTGGCCACAAACCCTATCAGGAACGATGTGCACTTTCAT